GCGCTTAGGCTGTCCGCTGTCCTTGGTTGCCTCCATAGATTGTCTAATAGCATGGTCCATACCCTATTGCCTGCAAAACGAAATACACCAATCCATTTGTATGCTTTGGGGGCTTGAAGTCTTTGGTATAGTTTTTTTAAGATGTGTTTTCATCAAAGTGCGCGCACTTTCGCCAAAATCTGGACCAAACATTTTCTTCGCTGCGTACATGAGTATTGTACACACGTTGTTTTGAGGTAATCGGACCAGCGGTTAGCGAGGAGAAGCAGATACAATGAGGGACCGCCGCTATCAGCTACGCAGGTGAGATCAAGAGCAGGAGCATGATAGCCGATGTTATCTCTTGGAGATGCTCGCCATCTGGTCTATGCGAGGACCTGGCGCTTGGACGCGCGCCTCATCGCTTAGGCCAGCGCTGCCAATCTCCACACCATTGCCACAAGCGCACGGCAATGCGGTAGCCATCATGGTTGTCATATACTGGCAGATACAGACTTCGCATACTGGAGTGCGAGCAGAACTTGACTTAACGGAGGAGAGACGAGAGGAACTCACCGAAGCCGTACTATTCTATGTTTCAAGTTTGTCCGCGTTGCAATCACTACCAGAGGGTGTGTCTCAACTGAGTGGATCGCATCTGACATGTCGGTGTGAGCTTTGGGCCAGCATACATTTGAAAGGCCTCCTCACAAGACTAGCAGAGACTGGTCTTCACGAAATGGACAGTATGACAGCATTCGTTGGAAAGCATTCACACGGCCACAGTATGGCCACAGTGTCGCGAATGTTAGAGCATGAAGCACACACAGCAAGTAACTTGAAAAGATAAGGAAAGCAAAAAGTTGGTACGGCGTTTGACTCCTGCCGGCATTCTCCGCAGAGTCGACGTCCAGGCGCTAATGCGTTCATCCTCTATCACCCGAAGTTTCGCATCCCATGTTCGCATGAGCTTGAATCGCGAGTGTCATGATGGTATTCTGCTCGGCCTTGCTCTGAAAAGCTTTCCGGCATTATCTGGCTATATATGATGAAGCTGCTCAGTATGCGCCCAAGGCATCTGATGTACATCCGGAGGCACGCGCATGTGGCCTTCGACAACATAAACACCGGACGCTTCTCTCAATCGTCGCCGGGTGAGTGGTCTCCCACTATCTACCTTCGCTTTCTCCGCTAATGGTACCTTCCTATGGAGATCCACTATCGTTACACTCTGTCAGACATGCGGTTGTCGGAGTCGAACACGCTCAACACATGAATAGACCCAGCCGAGAAGAGTATATATCCTGGTAGACTCGACGTGTTGAGCGTTCCCCCGATCGTTGAGCCTGAGGCGTTTCCCCTCCATGATATCGGCCATCGTGTGCACTCTCATTGCTCTGCTTGCATGGAGACTAGTCCGCGCTCTCACCCCCAAGTCTCCTCTGGATATCGTACCAGGGCCCATCGCGACATCGTTTCTCACCGGTACGACACGTCTTCTTCACTCGGACAGTGTAAGGTAACATCTGCCGCAGGTCATCTTTCTCAGATAACCGATACGCAAAGCTGGGATTTCCACTCCCACATCGCGGAGAAGTATGGGCCAATCGTGAAGTTACGCGGCCTGCTCGGGGTCCGTCAAGTCCTCTGGAACGTTGACGGATGATTGGCTAACACGGTCTACATTAGAAACCAATGCTGTACATCTTCGATCCTTTGTCCCTTCAGCATATACTGAAGGATAACACCCTATACGACGAGCCGCCATGGTATCTGCAGTACGTGACAACCCTCCTTGGGCGTTACCTGTGCCCGCGCGCCGACCTTATCACCATCAGGAGTAACTGCATCCTGCTCGGCCCTGGACTTCCATGCGTCACAGGTGCAATGTCTGATCCTAAGGATGATATCGCGTTCACTGACCCGCACGGCTGCCAAGGCGAAACACACCGGAAGCAAAGGAAGATGCTCACACCTATCTTCGCTCCCAAGCATCTCCGCAGCCTTGTCCCCGTGTTTTATGGAGTGACGCACAAGGTAGCTAGCTGCTCGACCTCTCCCGACATAATCATCAGCTCACTTGACCTATGTGCAGCTGGTGAGCGCGATATCGACCCGCGTCGGAGAAGATCCGCAAGCGGTCGACGTACTCGGATGGATGGGGCGAGCGGCTCTGGAGCTCATCGGACAGAGCGGACTCGGGTACTCGTTCGACCCGCTCACGGAGGACGTGCAGGATGCGTACGGGGATGCTGTGAAGAGCTACTCGTGCGTCCGTAATGTCTGTGCACCACCCAGTTGTAGCTGATATCATTTCATGCAGGCCTGTCGCAACCTGCGCGGAGATGATGCTGTTGCGCCAACTGACACCGTTCGTGGGCTTCCTTGGCCCGTCGTGGTTACGTCGATGGCTCGTAGAGATACTGCCGATCCCTTCTGTCCAGGAGTTGATCCGCATCTGTGACACCATGCGTGCCAAGTCGAGCGAGATTCTTCAAGCAAAGAAAGCTGCTGTCGACACGCATGGAGCTGATCACAAAGACATCATCAGCGTTCTGTGTAGGTTGCACGTTTGTACCTTGATTAGGACCGTCCTGATCTCCGGACGATAGTGAAGGCCAATATGGAGGTGCCAGTCGGAGAACGCCTCCCAGATGAAGAGGTGTCAGGACAGATGTCGTGAGTGCTCCCACCTGTCGTCTTCTCGGCGCATCGATAGAGCGAGCACACGCTCCTGCCCCAGCTCGATCCTCTTCGCAGCGATGGACACGACGTCGACTGCTTTGTCTCGTATACTTCACTTGCTTGCGCAACATCAGGAAGTACAGGAGAAAGCTCGGCTAGAGGTCATAGAAGCACGTACAGCTGCTGGAGGAGACCTCGATTATGACCAGCTGCACGCGTTGCCGTATCTCGACGCGGTATGTCGGGAGACGCTCAGGCTGTACGTCCTCAACATGCGTATCCTTCCTCGCAACCAATCTGACGAACCAACCAGATATCCTCCTGCGCCGCAGACCTTTCGGGGGTATGCATATTAATCCTATTGTCTCTGTTCCCAGCTGATCTCGGGTTGAGTGCTCCAGGACCACGAAGGACGCCGTCCTACCTCTCTCACAGCCCATCCACGGTACTGACGGATCGGTCGTAAGCGACCTCGTCATTCCCCGCGGTACAGACATCGTCATCGGGATGATGGCGTGCAATCGCTCCAAGGCGCTCTGGGGAGACGATGCGTACGAGTGGAAGCCGGAACGCTGGCTTGGTCCCCTTCCAGAGACAGTGGAGAGGGCAGCGATCCCCGGGGTATATTCTCACCTGTAAACGTCTTTGTCTTTTTGGTCCGGCACGAACAGACGCTGAAATTGCCTACGATGCATTAGGATGACATTTTTGGGCGGCGGGCGATCGTGCATGTGAGCGCTCTCCTTGTCTACTCATCTGTTTGTTGCTGTGATGCTCAATGTCTTCGCCGCCAGCGGGTTCACTTTCTCGCAGCTCGAGATGAGTGAGTTGTCATTCGGAAGTGCGAGCAGAGACAGCAGGCTGACAAGAGGAAACAGAGGTGGTCTTGTCCGAGCTGCTCGGGAACTTCGTTTTCGAGCCTTCCGACAGGCCCGTTTTCTGGAACATCTCCGGAGTCACGTATCCGAGCACCAGTATAGGAAGCACAAAATCAGAATTGTGGTTGAACGTTAAGAGACGTTAGGTCCACACTGACTCTCTCACGTTTCAAGGAGCCGCAAGGCGGAAGGTTTTGCTGTAGGTGACCTCCGTGTGGTGATCTGACTTCCTGACTCACTGTTCCCGACCTCTGACCTCGCAATGTTGGCTGAACGGCGATCTGGAGCGTGGGATTATTGTTTGACTGTAGTCTTACATTCTTGTACATCCCGTAGAAGTAGAGTCTACTGCAGGTCATTCTCTTTACAAATCAAGCTCATGAACCGCACCATCTTCTCCCAACCCTCATGGACTGGGACAGCATCCAGTAGAAATGGGAGAACAGTCGCTTGAGAGTGCATGTGGACACAAACACGGTTCCACCTATCCAGTGCAAGCCTGTATCGGTAACGGGATGGACAACATGGTCAATTCTACAGGTGGTGCTGTACAAGATTACACACTCAAGCACAGCTGATCGCAACATTGAAGCGCTCGGCGTCGTGACACCTATACAGCGGCACCGTCACTGCATAGACAGGGGAGAAGGACGCACGCAGGAGAGACTTTGGATGGTAACTATCGCGCATTTGAGCTCGAGCCTATACATACGACCTTATACTCAGCATGACCTGACAAGCACTACCACGCGACCGCACAGTAGAGGCCGGCGTGATGCGTGTCCTTGGCACCCTGAAGATTGGAGCAAGGGACAGCGAGAATCGCGTCCCATAGGAGAGCATCCCCCGAGGCTCCTCGATGCGCATGGTCGTTCCTTGCCGAGGCGTTCATGTCACGACCCCACTGCGACGGTTGCTCATCGAATGCACTGTGCATTTTCCAGTCTGGCTTTTGCCCTGGCAAGTGCTACAACACTGTCTTCGAGACTGCCTACATCACTGTCTTCAAACTGCGGGCAGCCTGACCGACTGATACAATTTGCAGTCACACAACGATGAGTTTGCCCGCGGCTCGTCTGTGGGGTCTGGTGCTGACACGTGGATTGTGGTGTAGACGACCCCAGCCCGGGCTACAACAACTGCCACTCGCTCATACCTTCTCGGATGACTATGCGCTCTCTGAGATCCCCAAGAACGGGCCTTCGCCGAGCAAGCTCTTTTTCGGCAAGCCGGGTACCCCGAGGCCCCCCCTCAGAACTCGTGTCTTTCTATAACCTGCGAATGAGATAGAAAGCAGTATCTAAGACAAACCCTCCCCTACATCGATAGAACACATGTACTGCATAACCTTCTGCCAACCCGGCTCCATTGCCCCTGCCGCTGTGTCAAATGCTCCGTCCACGTAGCTGGCCCGGGCGCGCTCACATTCGTCCAAAGCAAACCTATACCCCTCGATGTCCAAGCCAGAGAAGAGTTCCAGGATATACCTTGCCAGGCCCTCCGCCTCCGCATCTGAGAGATCGGCTCCATGTGCGGGCACGCATCCATGGACATACAGGTAGCTCAGCCCATGGGGTGCACGATCCGGCGCAGGAGCCGGAATCGAGTCAACGCCGACGACTGGACAGCGAATGCAGGGCAGCACGACCTCTTGGAGGTTAGGACAGTAGTGGTAGAGGTGGTGGAGGGCGGTACTGGGAGTCGGCCTCGGTGGGAGGGTGGCACACGCGAGGATGAGCTCCTCGAGCTTCGTCCAAGCCTGCGCGAGCATCCGGATGTCGGCGTCGTCGGCGCTCCAGTATATCGTCTCCGATGTAGAGAAGCGGAAGCAGCTCATGTTGCGCAGCGGTAGGATAGGTGCCACCACGTCGCCCAGTGCGAACTCGTCCATCGAGGGGTCGTCTCTGGGCAAAAAAACCGTCTATACTGAGTTCGAGGTTCTGGAGGCTGCTGAGCGATACGGCAGTGCAAAACGACGCCAGGAGAGATATTATGTCGCCGACTGTGAGATGTATCTCTGGAGAAAAAAGACACCGAGAGTTTTGCATGCGTTAGGGCTTGGAAACGGACGGACTGGAAAAGGGAGATGAGCGGGCCTGACTGTCCCCACAAAGACAGCTCGCGCAGGTTGTGGACTGCAAACGGCGGGGATAGTGCGAGCCATGGATCGTCTACTTCGGACACGTCGACGGACGCGATGTTGGACTTGGTGACAAGATCTCGAAATGCGGAAAGCTGGGAGAGGTGGTTGACAGTGACGCCACGGAGGTGATCGAAAGCAGTGAGTTCCTGGACGAGCGACGACTCCGCTTCAGGCGTATATCCGAGGTCCGTCGTGATGTCAGCCAAGAAAGGGGAGGATTCACGGAGTCTCCGGAGCAATGTGAGAATCGCGGGGCAGTCGTCCATGTAGTCGAAGCGGAAGGTTGCGATGCGCAGACTCGCCACGAACAACGGCGCGAAGACGCAGGCATCTGCCGGTGACCTCCCCAGCCATTCTATTCGGCACAGAGCAGGAAGGACGGACTTCCCTCCATTGTGCTTGAGGATATCTTGTAAAAGAAGGAGTTGAGCTTCGCGGTGCTCTTCCGAGTCCGAAGTCAAATCAAGATCTAGTTCGCGGATGTGGGCAGTATGCCATAGAAAGCGGTTCCATCGCTCAGGATCCTCATACTCCCGAGCAGATATAATCTGTGCAGACCAAATTGAGAGGTAAATCATGTCCATCTATCGAGGTTGTCGTACCTTCTTGAGATACTCCGATTCTGGCTCTGGCCATCTGTGAATACGGACGTTCTGTGGAGCGAGAAGCTGCCACAAAGGAAGCAGTTCAGACATATACCTCCATAGAAGGCGGACAGCCGGCTCGTGGAATGCACGACAAACAGTCGTACATCGCACTAGTTGCCGGGCGCAATTGGGTGGCAGGAACGTGAAAGTGGCATAGAGTAGGTCTCCATTAGCTAAAACTTGACTACAAGCTGGTAGCATATGCGAGATCAATTGTACTGGCAGCTCAGTCACCTGTGAAAAAGGAATCCAACAGGCTGGAGGCTCGTACAGAGTCAAGATGACAGGAGTTGACGAAGAGTGGGTGAGGTGGCAGCAAGCCTCGGTTCCGGACCGGACCGGTGACCGGGTCATTCACACCGGTCATTTTGTTTGAACCAGACTCGAGCGTCGGTCATTTGTTTTCTGTCGTCGCATACCATATCTGAATTCTCAATCTCGTGGCTTGTACGGTTTACATTGATAGGATATCATCGATGGCATGGATGAATATGCGTCCCAACTCACCACCGTAGGCCAGCGAATGTCCACCGCCGGAAAACACGAGATGATCCAAAGCACTTCTCGTATACGACCGCTCTTCCGACGCTCCCCGCAAAACCGCTGCGCACGATCCGTCGCTCGTTCTCCATAGCGTGACTACCCCACAAGACCCATTTGAGCCCGTTGCTATGTACCTCCCATCGGGCGACAAGCGAGGACATAGACGGTGGTCAGATCCTGGTCCCTCAAGCGACAAAGCCATCGTACAGCGCTCAGCGTCCCAGCAGTCGACCTTTCCGTCGCTGGTCGCAAGGGTGCAAACTGTTTTTGCGTCAGAAGAGAACGTAACTTCTTTCGTCGGCTTCTTCGTCGGCAACGTCGAACGCGTCTCCCCGGTCTCGATGTCCCAGATGAACACGGATGCCTGGTCCCATGAGAAACAACCAGCGACAATGCGGCGGGAAGCAGGGTCAAACGCGGCGTCCAAGAGCGCGCCAGGGTGTCCACCGAGGACTTTTTGAAGAGGGCCAGGGTCAAACTTCCGACCAACATCCCAAAGGCAGAGGTGGTGGCCGTTGCGTGACTCCTTCCAAGGCGTGTGAAGAGCTAGGAGCCAGCGCGCATCCGGGGAGAACAGGACGCGAACGATTCCCACCGCACCGCACTGAGGGTCCGCAAGCAGATAGCACTGCTGGAACGCGTCGCCCCCATTGCCGGGGCCAGACCAAACCCGCACGGACCCATCGTCCGAGCCAGTAGCGAGCCACTCGCCCGTGCTACACCATGCACAGCTTCGGATGTGAGCTGTGTGACCGTGCAAAGTAGCGGCAAGTACGGCATCGCTCGCCAGATCCCACACTTTGGGCGTGGTGTCGCCGCCGACCGACAGAAGGTATCGGCCGTCAGGTGCAAAGGCGAGGTCGTCGACACACCGCTCATGTGCGACCCAGTCCCAGACAGCGGTATGGCTCTCCGCATCCCAGACTATGATGGTGGAGTCGAGCGATCCGCTCGCGAACCATTCGCCGTTGGTAGAAGCGACTAGCACTGATACCGCCTCTTCGTGAGCTACCGTATGACCTAGGAGAGATCAGCATTAGTCCGAGCCGTAGACCTATAAAGTTCATCTCATACTGAAGGAAGATACTCACCGTCACTCCTCTCAATCGGATTCAGAAATCCCTTGAACTGTTTCGCGCGTAGAAGTCCTGCAAATATTTGATCAATTCTGGAGGTCCAGAACCGTCGCCTGTAAGATCCACGAGTATACGCTGTGGCCCCGGCTCGTACCATGACGATGCACGGTGATGAGATGCTCAACATAACTCTTTCGAGCTCTTGGCAAACCTCGGTGGTGATATCGAGGGTAAGAAAGTAGTAGAGCTTGTGTAGCCAGTCGGACTGGATTCTGATTGTAACAGTAGGTCCCTTACTGGGTGCCGGATCAAGAAGACGGATGTGTGCAAGAATCTCGATGATTCTTGTCAAAAGACCCCTTCCATAGCCTTGAGATTGCTGCCAGCGACAGAGTTTTATGTCGACCACGAGTGTTTCCAGAAAGGGAAACTGTCTGGGCAAGTGAAGAGGCCCTGCACGAATAACCAATGAGGTGTGTTATAGAATCAATTACGAACCATTGACGGCGTACCTGCAGTATTGTCCTTCCAATCATCGTAACTGAGATCCACGTACCACGCGAGATGCTCGACGGCATTCTGCGATATCTCCGTCAGAAATGTGGCTGCTCTCTGATCCGTTACACCCTTCTGAAGCGACATCAGCCTTAGTAATAATAATTAATGCTGTACCTTCTGCGTGAAACAGCAGGTGAAGCTCACTATGGTTAAGCGCTTGTAATGGACCGTCTCGGCCAATCGCTGTCGTAATACACTATCCGCTGCACTGATTTTTCTTCCACCTCTGCAAATTATGCAGGTCAAATCTTGCACGCGAGGAAAGGCGAGAAGGAAGCGTCCTAGGTCGGCACAACTGGGAAAGAACACGCCACTGATGGTCAGGCAGTTGATATGGGTTCCATGCGCTCTAAGCCCCAATAAGGCCGAGCGGTGCATCACAAGCGTAAACCTGTCTTCAGAGTAAGTGTCCTTCAAACCCCAATAATGGAGGTTTGGCAGCCTGGTCAAGAGAGGCAACGGGACCACCCCCAACAGCTCAGGGTAGTCTCCAGGAGATATTGTGACCTGCTTGATAAGCGGAGGAAGCCATGGACGAGCGTCGAGGAATTCCGAGAGGTTTTCAAGCTGATCCTTCCTACGAATATAGATATGCACGAAGATATGGCGACGACTGCGGTCCAGAAGAGCGCGACAGGAAAGCGAAAAGTTGCAAAGAGTCCACAGGTCGTTGCTGGACATGTCAATGATGTCTTCAATGACATCTACTGGGAGGAGAGTCGGTTTAGTGTTGGAGGACATAACGCGCGGGACGAAGGAGTGCAGCTAACTTCTGAGTTTGTCTCGAGTTGTTGTGGGCAATCCGCGTACAGCCGGGCGTGTCACGTGAGTGCTTATATTGGACTTCCTACCTCCTTCCACTATCTCAGAACCGTTATTTCGATGCACATGTCTCGAAGTTCACTCTCTCATCCGTTATCTTCGTAATAGACAAGACGATTTCCGATAACACTCTCCATGCTAACTTCTGGTGGAGATCATGTCGAGCCTGTATGATTCTGATCACTTCGATATCAAGGCCAGCCTGACCCTTGAATGCCATAACAGTGCGAGCATCGCAAGACCTACACACTATGCCGCGCGTAGGATGTGCGTCCGACAGTCTACTTGGATGGGAGAAAAGTCTGGAGGGAATTGCTCGCGCGAATCGAATGGGTAAATGTCCGAGGTGCCGGGGTAATGCGCGCATGAAGTGAGCGGGTGGATGTTCGTGGAAGCATAACGCGCTTGCAGCCACGACTGTCGGCGTAAGGTACGCAAAATTTGATGCGTTCTCATATACCCGTGCCATACAAAGTCCAAACTCTCTCATCAGCCTGGATTCGAGGAACCTTCCATCGGACACAATGCGTTTCTTGCAACATGCAAGTTGATAGTGTGGCATGCAGAGAAGATGCACGTCCAGTATGGAGTCACCGCGAACCGGAGACGAACCGAGGGCGGATTGAGCGGTTGGGATATAGGAGACAGGCCTTGGAACGTTGGTAAGCATTGTACATCGTTCCATGATCAGCAGTTCCGGCGTCTGACGAGAATGGAACTGTGAGTCAGTCGGTTGAATCTGATTTGCTCGTCAGATGTGCCGTCGTAGGGCGAATTGTGGACGTGCACCTTCATCGCTCTCTCACCAGTGGCCGCTGTAGACTTGATGCCAGATAAGCTGCATTTGCCCGGTGTGCTCAGTATGCGACGTAGGTTCCGTGGACCATCGGGCCTTGCTTGCTGTACGCTTTCGACTCCTCTTATGACAGACTTGTCAGTCCCAATACCAGCTGCAATGTAGAGGGGGACATAGCGGGCACGTCAACGCCCGAGCAGTGTCGGCTGGGGGAGATGAATCCTATGGCCTCACCATCGCACACCCGCTTTATGCGCCGTGCCCACATTTGACATCTGGCTGAGATCACGGACTACGGTTTCTGATGACTTGTGCTGTTCGGGCTATGATTCGGCTTCCCGTCGGTCCTGGAAACGCCCGTGTTGACATGAGGGACTCCGGTCGACGTGGAAGGATATAGGTATGGACTATTCCGGCACATCTAGCTGCGTCTGATTTGTTTGAATGGCTGCAGAAAAGAATTCCGCGCGAACGTAAGAATGCGAGAAGAGCGGCGTAACGGGATATCGGAAGGGAAATTTGTAATGTGCAGAGTCGACGGGCGGTGCGCACACCGCATGATCGCAGCATTTATCTGTCAGCGAAAGGCGTGTACTTTATTGAATGTCTCATGTATAGACTGCTAACGGGCGACGACTCACCTGAATCGGTTCTAGAAGATGCACACACAAGTGTAGAAATCTGACAGTGATCTCGAAGACAGTCCACTGCCAGTGCAACCTCCGCCCAAACAAACTGTCGAACATAAGAGTACCTTCTATCATAACTCCTGGTTCCCATAGAACGGGAAATGTGGCCATATTGATACTTGCAATGGCTGTCGCGACCGCTGCATCAAGATCCATTCATCAGTACTCACCGTCAACCCGTGGTTTACTTTTGGGGATGTCACGCCAAAAAACTCTGACCGGGGAACACAGCACAGACCCGCAGGACCGCAACGGGGCTCGTAGGGCGCGCCTGATTGGCCCCTGCATATGCGTCCATCCACTCGCACAACACCTCACTGACTACTTCTCTTCGACAGGTACACCCTCCACCTGTGACGATTCCTCTAGCTAGAGCCTTAGCGTAGTCACTCTCGCAGCCGTTGTAACGGCACTTTCGACGATCCCCGGACTTGTGCGTTGCGGGCGTCCGCCCGCTCTAGGGGCAGGGGAGTTCTGACGGACGGCGGGGATACCGCTGTACGTACTCCTGACCGCGGCAAGAGGCAGGACCCAGGGGCGCATACGTACCCGTAGGGCGGCAGGTTTATAACCCGACTCCTTGCCTTAGATGGCCGGGGGCAGTCGGGCGGCCGCAACGCACATGTCCTACGCCCTGTTTCCTCTATGAGTCTCCTACCTACTCTTGCCCCTGTCAGCTATACGATACCATCCACTTGCACCCTCCCTCAACGTGACTTCCCCTACTTTACAACCCCTCGATAGCATGGGCCTCGCGCCCTCTCATCTGTACAGCAACCCATCACATTACAGCAGTAGATACAACATGTACTTAATGCCTACCACGAGGCACGGCCTCGCAGGGCAATAAACGGGATCAGGAAAGGAAAGGAACCCGTGGTAGGCATCCACTGATGCATCTGAGCTAGAACTCCGGTGGCCGACGTCCGGATAGTCGCCAGCAATGTTCAGAAGCAAGCCATGCAGGCGTAGACAGATCAGGGAAGCAAGACGCTCAAGCGCGTGAATGAGAGACGGCCCAACAGACATTCGGAGTATGGACGCTTAGTAGACCGGTCGGACGTACGTTGAGCACGCAACATAAACTCTCTTGAGCGGAAGCAGAGCTAGGCACGCCAAACTATCGGTTTCGATTGAGTAGACGGGCAGCCTTGCCGGACGAGACGGGGCTTTCCTATCGGCTTAGGAAGATGATTCACACGATGTATGAATGGCCCCAGATGGTCGTCGTGCATGTTATCCTCCGATGCCCACCCGATCGGAGCGGCGTTTCGCTCGAAACCATCACAAACCGTTGTATGGATGATGGGAGTGCAGGAACAACCAGAGACAGATGTAATAAATATGAATATGTTACAAATACATTACATGCGTAACAGTCCAATGCCTGTCTACAGCCCACCAATATTGATACAATTTTCTGTCAATGAGGGACAGTACCTTCTAAACCCGCGCAAAAATGTCCGAGTTAATCTTCAATTTCGACAACAACATGAACCCTGAGCCGACCATAACGCTCGTGCCACTTAGAAGAATTAGGCCAGTGTATGAGCCATGTCCGACGTGAAGCAATGCCCCAGCTGCTGGATTACCGACAAGGGATCTAGAGCAGCCGAGCAAAATGAGCACCCCAGATCGCAATCCGGCCACAAACCGCAATTGAGATGCATCACTCACGGAAACGAAATGATGCTGTACAGCAGCCCGATGCGCATCCCGATCTCCCTGATGTCCGAAATCTGGGCGATGCACGGTACGATTAATGCGTTGAACGCCCCGGAAAAGACGCCGTAAAACGCTGCGTATGCGACAAGGGCGAAGAGCGAGTCCGCCGCGGGCCAGAGTAACACGGTGGATAGCCCAGCGAGGAACGCGCACGGGACGAGGAGCGTGAAGCGTCCGAACGCGTCAGCAAAGTGCGCCGGAGCGACCCGTCCGAGGACGCTCGCCGCATTCAGCACGGCGAGCACGTAGAATGCCGTTCCGGAGGGCACGCCGTGGTCCGAGGCGTACGAGACGAGGTAGCAGAACGGCGTAAAGAGGCCTGTAGCAAAGTAGGTGTTAGCCAAGCGAACGAAAATTTAGAGCCTGAGATGCGATCTCGATGTGTCCGAAGCCCGATATGCACCGGCCGTTAGATCGGAGGTGGATTGGGCTCGGAGAAATGGCCAGAGATTGGGAGGTTGGAGATGGAAGATAGGCTGTAATACATACCGAGGGACATGAAACAGCTTCCTACCACAAGCAGCGCAAATTTAGGATCCTTCAGGGCGCGCAGATCAAGCCATGACATGTTCTCCTTCGCAGGTGCCTGCGGAGTGACTCCACTAGTCACCGTGAAAGTCGCCGTCGTGCACATTACGAAACAGATGATCGCAGACACTCTGACGCCCCAAGCAAACCCGACGTTCACAAATAGGTACTGGAGAAGGATGGGGTACACCGTCCCACCTGTCTAGGAGCATCAGCAGGCTGAAACCGCCCGTGAATAGAACGGAACAAACCTATGCCGGAGCCCGCCATCGCAATGCCCAGCGCCGTTGCGCGATACTTCCTGAAGTGGGTCGATATTGACGCCAGCGGAGGATAGAACCTGCGAGATGACGTATCGTGAGCCTCCGAAGAGTACCGGAAGAGGTCGCTTGAGACTGTGCGGCGCCACTACTCACAGCATTCCGACTCCCAGGCCCGATAATATACCCTGCGCGGCCAGGTAGTGGGTGTAATCCCGCGCGACGCTCGTGAGCATCATGCTCGACACATAGATGGCAGTGCCCAGCGCCATTATCATGCGAGGTCCGTACATGTCAAACACGCGGCCGATGAAACCCCCCTGAAAGGCGCAAATCACTGTAAGCAGACGTCAACGGGCGAGGCCAATCGGAAGTGAGTACATACGGAGAAGAAAAACACCCATAGCTGCACGGAGCCGATCCATGCTATCGTCGAGGGATGCAGGTCGTGCAGCTGGTGTGTCGTATACCACGTTTGGAATGTGCCGAATGCATTCATCTGGCCGAACGAGCAAAAAAGTGCGAGGAAGGCCCCAAAGACGGTAAGCCAGGCGGCTGACCCTCCGTCCGAGAAGTCATCGTAGTCTGGCACAGCTTCATTGTCGTTGATGATGGATAAATCATCCTTCACAATGGACCCATAGGAGGAAGGTTTCGCGGCGCCTGTAAGGGACATGACAGTCAAAGAGAAGGAGGGGGGAGGCAAAGGAAGGGATAAGGTGGACAAAGTACAGAGCCCCGAGCTGTCGAGCTCAATCTAGAAGAAAGGATAGAAGGCAGAGAAGGAGCTGCGTAGTGGATTGAGTGTGCACTCCCCAGTCGACGTCTATAAAGAATCTGCCGTCCGTTCATGACGGTTGCTATCAACGCACGGAGGTACATCCCGTTACCTATGCGCGAAAGAGATCGCTTGCTCGGCCCAGGCTCGAACGGAGCATGGCTCCCTCGCCTCGGCCGCCTTGCGAGAATAATTTTCGAAACAGTATAGGAGGCGCTCTGATTGCCGCCCCGGGGGGGTCACAGTAGCTGGAACCTCGCCAAGACGCAGGAAATCGAGGTCGCACCTCACTCTGGTGCGTATGGATCTGGGCGCCTTAACCCCTCCGTGACAGCCGGCTCCCAGCACAGCATCGGTGAGTAAGAAGAGCGAGGCACGATGTCCAGATTCACCTGGCAGCAGATCTTAACTGGGGCGGGAGAGAGTGCACATGGGGCGCCGACGGCCTGTGAGAAGCAGAGTGAGCTCCATAGACAGGAAGATTGCAGAGATCGTACCTTCGTGAGACGGTCAGCCGACATAAGCTCTGACGCAGACGATGGAAGACGCATCACAGGATCGCAGGATCGCATCCCATGAATAGCATTTGAACGCCATCGGGCCAGGAAATTTCGTGAGGATGGGCCTCTCGGGACCTGATCCGCCCACTTGACGGAAACCTACTTATATCAAAGCGTGGATAACGGTGGACACGAGTCTGCGCGTGGGTACCGAACTGTGTGCTTCCGTAATACACTTTTCCAGCAGAGGGGGCAGAGCATTCGGAGGAAGAGGCGTACTGCTGCCCTGACTCTACCTCGGGACCGATGAACAGCACATGAAGAGTCATGTTTTTCACCTGTACGGGTCTAGTTAGTAAAATGTCGCATACGATGCTTTCTCTCGTACGAGTTCCGCGGCGTGAGAGGAGTGTGGCAAGCGGCTGAGACGATGTTTTCGATTCCAGTAGTACTCATCAACTGTCTTATGCGATTAGTGGAAGGCTATAGTTCTCACATCAGTTCCGACGACCTGGGCTGCTCCACCACCTTGGATCGAGCTGCGACGGCAATAGAGGCAAGATGGGAACAACGGCGATGCTGTGGTCGGACGCCGGCTCTCGTGACCGACCGGAGAACACATGTCGCCGACCATGCCGTCGCGTGCAAGCCACGTTAGCTGCCAAAGTGGGGTGCCAATATTGCTTTGGCATAAATCATGCATGAGTTGGGATAGTGCTGCATAACACCATGCAGTCCGGACAATCCAAATCCAGCGCCAAAACGCCTTCACGGTCCGACAGTCACTGCGACAGCAACTTTGCCGCAGTAGCGTGTGGAGGGTAAATCGATGACTCGCATGCGCGGCGGTCGCGACCCTGGTCGTCCGTTTCCCCCGTGCAACCAGCTCAGCATCGAACCGACCAGGGCCACATTCTTGATATATGGGTACGCACCGACATGATGCAATTCGAAGCTAGTGCACGGTAACACAGTGGCGAGGGCGAAAAGTCAAATTGCCAGAATCGTTGATGTTGCCGGAGAAGAGTACTAGTTTCGACGCAGTTCGAAGTGTCAAAAGATAATTTCAAGAGCATATTTGCAGTGATACTATCAGTGGAATACCATCCACTCTTGAGAAGGGCGCGAGAACGCTTCAAGATATGCTGTGAAAACTTCTGATACTTCGACGGTGGTTGTTTGTAGGTGTTAGGATCAGAGGCTGTTGCCAAATACCAGCAAATAACGCCTACGCGTCCTTGGGCGTCTGCAGCAGCAGGCAGCCGCGTAAGCCACCGACTCGTCTCTGTCATCTATCTACCTCTACAGCCCCTACTCGACCGACTATCATGACTACACAGGCTCATAGGATTGATATTGACGAGTTTTTGACTTTGGCCATCTCGGAAACGCCACAGGAGCTGCATCCCTTCTTCGAATCTTTCCGGACGTTGTACAGCCGTAAGTGCGTGATCTAGTTACTTCATTCCCGTGGTCAAGGGCTGACACCGTACGCGTGTAGATTATGGCATCAGTTGACGAACAGGCTTCTGGAGTTCTTTGACTTCCCGCTCTCAAGACCTTACCGCGTCGATGTCTTTAACAAGTTCGTGCGCGATTTTGAGGCGAAGCTCAACCAACTGAGGCTGGTAGAGATGGGCGTAAAGGTCTCGAAGGAGATTGACAGTGAGTGTTGACTCTGCCCCTGTTTCCGAGCACTATTGCTCCTGCTTTAGCCGCGAGTCCGGAGTTTCGGACGTTTCAGGGAAAACACCAAACGTTCTCCCTAACACGCCCGCTCCTTCATGTACTGATCAGTGAAACGGCGAATGTATGCTTCACATACACGAAGTACGCTTTATTGGAGCCAGCACTGAACCTGCATTGAACATTAACCACTGTGATATGAACGTAGCCCTAACAGTTCTATCTAGAACCTGTTTTCGACTCCTAGACATTCTCATCTTGGGAGGCTGTTAACCGTCCAAAGCGGGGCTGTTAGCAACAGACACCCAAGGATTTGCGTTCATACAACGGCGTTTCGTGTACCATTGTTTCACAGAAGCCGCTTTCCATGATCGGGGCCTTAGTACTAGGACTTGTCCTCCCACGTCTCGCTCTGGCGGACACTCATGTGGTCATATCAGATCCCGCAACGCACCTCCAATTCCTTACGGATCTCCTTGAACGCGTGGACACGACCAAGTCGCCCGAGGCGCACGTCCTTCTCCTTGCTACACTTGCTCACGCGAAGCTGCTGTACGGAGACAACGAGGGGACGAAGAACGATATCGACGCCGCGTGGAAGGTGCTTGACGAGCTGTCTGGGGTTGACCCGTCCGTAAACGCTGCGTACTACGGAGTTGCCGCGGATTACTACAAGGTGCGTGGCCACCAGGGTGTCGGCTGATGCCTATACTGTGCGCCATGTGCTTGTCTTCAATTCTCCTGACTGCGCGTATCTGTTATAGTCAAAGGCAGAATACGCACCGTATTACAAGAACTCGCTACTGTACCTGGCGTGCATCGATCCTGCGAAGGACCTGACGGCAGAGGAGCGCGTGCTTCGTGCGCACGACCTGGGGATTGCCGCTTTCCTCGGAGACTCGATCTACAACTTCGGGGAACTGGTGAGTTGTTGTCATTAGTCCGCACTGCCGATCGTTGCTGGTGCCGTATGCCAAATCCGGACGCGCGTTGCTCACCGCTGCTCTGTTTCACTCCCGTCCTCCATTCGCCCCCGCCATGCATTCACCCCCGTCATGCATCGCTACCCCATGTATCAACCCGTTGTGGCCAATGTGCGCGCGATATGACTACAGCTCATGCACCCGATCCTGGACGCACTCGATAAGACCGCGCACGAGTGGATCAAGACGCTGCTGTTCACATTCAACGAGGGTAATATCGGCAAGTTTGAAGCCCTGGCACCACTATTCCCGAAAGAGGTACGTCCACAGGCCACACGATGTGTGTGGCTCTCTGTCTCACGGGAACAACGCTCCGTTCTGACCTGTGGCCTCTCTTGTCTGCTTTTCGGTGACGTCGCACGAACGTTGCAGCCGATCCTGCAAGAGAACTACCCGTTCCTGCGGCAGAAGATCTGTCTGATGGCGCTCATCGAGTCCGTGTTCAAAAGAGGGGCGTATGACCGAACGATGTCGTTCCAGACCATCGCCGAAGAGACGCGGTTGCCGCTGGACGAGGTCGAACACCTGGTAATGAAAGCTTTGAGGTATGCACGTTCGCGCGCTCTCTTTCAATTTCCAGGATGTGTCGATATCGCTGACGTCGTACTGTGCTTGTGTTGTTCCTTCTGCAGCCTGAAGCTGATCAAGGGGTCCCTGGACCAAGTGGACCAAAAGGCGCAAATTGCGTGGGTGCAGCCGCGGGTCCTATCTCGAGAGCAGATCGGGCAGCTGGCGCAGAGGCTCGCAGCGTGGGGCTCGAAGCTGCACAAGGTGGAGGAGCGGATTGCCCCGGAGGTGCTTGTGAGCGGTTGAGCGGCAGGCGTAAACGGAGTACGGTGTATAGTAGCGTTTGGACCCTTTCAATGTAGCCTTTTCGCTTACAAGCCAATGCGTACTGTGGGACGTCAGAGGACGTAAGGATGTGTTGAACTGCGATGAGCTTGTACAGGAGGAGTGGCGCGGGACGAATATGTGGCTGGGCTAGGCGAGCTGAGCTCTGTCCGCAACGACCACCTCGCGGCTTGCGCATGTCCATCAGCCACGTTCCGGTTATCACCAGCCCCCCATCGTGCACAACGCCTGCCTCCTTTTCATTTTCCTCCTCTGAGACATCATACGCCCGTCGTGACGACCACCCAAATTCTACTCGCCGCCTGCGCCGCGAGAGCCCGTGCTGCGTCTTCCAGGGACATCTCTCCTCTTCCGACTTCACTATAACTCTCCCGTCGTCTGACGCTCTCTGACGACCAAACCACGGACCTGCACCCCTGCTATGACCACTGCAAACATCCCTTCGACGTCCTCACAGCCATACACTGCGTCGACCTTCTCATTCACCGCGCCCTTCCCGCCCTCACCCTCACTCGCAGCCGCCGCCTCCGCCTCGGCGAAGCAGCGCCGCGTCTCCCTCGCCCTCCCTTCCGACTCCTCGCCCCGCATCTTCCCCGCATGGAGCTTTCGCGACGACACCGGCTTGGGTGTGCACTCGCCCGACCCGTCTCAAGCACAGGCCAGCACTGACGCGGAGAAGAGGGGCAAGATGCGCAGGATCGCCAACGGCGACGACGGTGCGGACGGCGACTTAGGTGCCCAACCACCACCAAACCACGACAAGCCGGAGAAGAAGCCCCGGAAGAAGTGGACGATGGAGGAGACCCACATGCTCGTCGCTGGATGCAACAAGGTGCGTAGTCGTGTTATGCCTCCCTCTTTGAGGGAGCCGCTGTACGCCTGGGGTCTCACCACCCGTGCTGTCGCGGGGTAGTGGGGCGTCGGCAATTGGAAGTCCATCCTCAACGACCCCGAATTTAAGTTCGACGGACGGTCGCCAGTCGATCTGAAAGACCGGTATGTGTGCTCGTCCGTATATGTCCACTTGTGATCCTCCTTGTCTGACGACTGTGGTCGTGTTCCTGCTACTACTACCCCTACCGCTATCGCTGCTCCCTCGCCTCGCCTCGCGCAGCTTCCGCACGTACTACCCCGATGCCTACAGGCAACACTACCCGAACGCCAAGACGCACCTCTCATCCAAGGTCCGCTCCGCGCTCCCAGACGGCACCTCCATCTTCGAGAAGACGCGCAGCAAGAAGCGACGTCCCTTCACCGAGGAGGAGGACCGCGCCCTCAAGGCCGGCTACGACAAGCACGGCACCGTGTGGGCGACGATCGTCAAGGACCCCATCTTTCAGGCCCAGAACCGCCGATCTACCGATCTGCGCGACCGCTTCCGCAACGCATTCCCCGACCTCTACCAAGCCGCGGGCTACAAGCCCCGCAACACGACGAAGAAGACTTATAAGGGTAGTGGGGGAAAGGATCATGGGCCCGCGCAGCCGCTGCGCGCCGCGACGGACGACGCGCTCGCGTCAAGCAGCTCGACGGGGCCCGTGCGGCGGAAGAGGCGGCATACGGACCAAGGCTTGTTTAGGGGCGGCACGAAGAGCGTGCCGGAGAGCGCGAATGTGTCAGAGGACGAGGACAGCTCGGACGACGAGGACGGACCGGCGCCGTTCCTCCAGGACGGCCCTGGGGGCACCCCACACATGACCGGCGACGAGATGGTCATGAGCCCCGATGGAGAGACGAAGGAGGTCGAGATGCAGATGCTGGACTCGCTCAACGACACGCTCACCATCCCCGACTTCATTCCCAGCTCGTCGCTCTCGGAGCTGACCGACTCGTCGCAGACTTGGTCGTCTGAGATTGACACCCCGGTACACTCCAGCGTGTGGTCTACGGCCACGAACGCTGCTTCGCCCACTTCGTCGCATCTCTCCGCCACTGACTACTTCCAGAATTCTCCGTTCCAGCGACGAAACGAGTCCGGGCCCATGATCGGCAAGTCCGCGTGGGGACCTCAGGACTGGCTCTCCGCGAATCCGCGCCTCGAGCCTTCGTCGAGCAGCTCATCGTCCTATGTTGGCAACTTCTCTCCGGCCCCGTCATCACCGTTCTCCTTCGCGCACCTCAATCACGGCGTTCTGGACCGCTACGACCTCTTTCCTACTTCGTACGCGCACGACTTCGCCTCAGAGGTCGGCATCGGCGACACGCACTCAACGTTCTCCGACCCAGATATGTTCGCCCCGAGCAGCTTCCGGGGGTTCACCCACCACTCCAATTACGCCGGTGATCTCATCTTTGGTGCTCGTTCACACCAACCACAGCAGTCCGCCGACTACGGCCCCGGGTTCGGCTTCGGGGGCGGCGCAGCTCTCGGGCTCTCAGGGGTGCAAGCCCCCCAAAGCCACGCTGCTCTGCGCACGCCAGCCCTTCCCGGCATTGACGAGATCGAGCTCACGTCGATCACGCTCGACGACCCCGACACCTCTGTCCCTATGGAAGAGACGATTGACACCGCCGTCCCGAAGGACCCCACGAGCCCCGAGGGCTCCCTCAACCTCTCCGACCTCACCACGTTCGCCCTCCCCTCGCAGACCCTCGAGGAGATCATCGGTCTGACGCAGGAGATCCACGTCACCCCTCCGGGAACCCCCCAGACGCATGCGCACACGCGGGACCGCATGGCACGCATGCAGCAGGCGGGCGTGCACCCTCACTCGCTCGCGTCGCAGCACAGCCGCTCGATCTCAGTCCCTCCGTCAGAGCACCGCGCGTACGATTACGACCCGCGCGCGATCCCGCAGAGCCAGCAGATCAGGCCGAAGCCACTCGTGCCGCCCACGAGGTCGCTGTCGCTGATGGACTACATGCCGATGCATGCCCAAGCGGGCGAGCAGCCCGCCGCGGCGGGGTCGGCGGAGCCGAATGGGGTGTTCGCGTCGCTGACGGGCTCGGCGAACGAGCTGTGGAAGCACTCGAACGGCGCACCCTCCGGTCTCTCAGCGGGCGAGAACGGGAACAACTACGACCTGCCGTTCCTCGACCTGCACTACTACAACACCGCGCAGGGCGGGCAGGAGATGGATCATGGCAACGGGGACGCGCACCAGGCCCAGGCGCTCGACCTTGCGCAGAGCTTCGCGGCGCAGAGCAAGACGCTGTCGCTGTCGCAGCAGCTCCCGCCGACGCTCGTGCAGCACATCCCGATGTTCGCGAACTGGCAGAACGCGCTGAGCGAAGCGGCTTCGGGATCGCGCATGGTGTCGGCGCATGCGCACCAGCATCAGCGGGGGCAGAGCGTCGTAAGCCCGCAGGACTTGCTGTTGACTAAGGGGGATAACAAGCGGAAGCGGTCGAGTTGGGACGGGGGGCCGCGGTGAAGTGTCTGCCTCTTCTGTCACGTGTCTCTGACGTGACGGCGCACTGTCCCTGCGGTTGTTTCTTCCCGTGCGCAAGTCGTTTCGTCCTCGGGCTATTGCTATTTGCCATAGTTATTGGGCTTTTGGTCGTGCGACTCGGTTGTGAATTATTGTGATTCGTGGATAAGGGTTCGTTTGGATTGCTATCCTGCACGCTACGCTACTCCTCTTCACCTCCTAACCTCCTCTGTCGATCTCCCCGACCTTCTCATGCACTCACTCGCTCTCCCACCGTCTGCCTCTAACTCATCCCCCGTTCTTCCGTTCCTATATCCTCTTCCTTGATACGCCATCTCTCATCGTGATCCTGCCATCCTCTTCCCCACTTGCCCCATTATCCGGATGTCTCTGCTCAGTCTGTCGGAATGTTCGATTTCTCTGTCTATTGCTTCTCCTATTCTCGTCTTTGCATGTCGCATACCTCCGCATTGCTCACCATGTTCCCTGTGTTCACCATGCCTATCTCAATGCAGCACGCATGTTCCCTACCGTCCATGGAGCGTTCTGGTGATTCAGTGCTTCCAAGCGTCCAACGACAGCGCATCCGTGCTGAGGGTGACCGACGAGGGTGATTCTGATTCTAATAGGTAGCACAGAACAGGCAAACATTACAAGATTCATACAGAACAGATGCATCGATGGCTACAGCGATTCTCTTCATTTTGCACGTCCCAAAGCCCAAGAAGTCTGTTCGCAGGATATATACGAGAAGTTCACGTCTTACCTCTAATGCTCGTATCCGGCAGTGACATGTTGAAGCCACGCACGTGGGGTCGAGCTTTGTCTATGATATCTTTCGCTTCTGCGGGGGACATCAAATCGACGCCTTGCCCCTCGGCTCATACGGAAGCAGCAGCGCGAGGGCTCCGCTTCCGATGATGAGCGCCCCCGAGACGTACACCGGGACGGCCGTCTGGAGGTTCGCGTACAGCGCGATGACGGGAGCCTAGCAGACATAGCCCAACACGCCATGCGTCGTTAGCCTAGCATTCATCGGACAATAAGCATGCATGCGCAGCTTCCGAGACTCACCATGATGCCGAAGACGCGCGTCGCGGTGGCCGTCAGCCCGTTGCCCGTCCCGCGGTCCTTGGCGGGGAAGAGCTCAGGGGAGATGGCGTAGAGCACGCCGTACATGATCTGTGGCGCGGTGCAGCGAGGTCAGCAGCTGTTGCTCAATTTTGCGGCCCGCCCCGTGCAGGCAGGCGGCGTCACACATGCGCCTGTGGCGCACGCACACCCTCCGCACGAGGCGGGCTCGGGGAATCGGAAGTGGAAGTGGAAGTGGAAGGTAAAGCGAACGCTGCACTCACATTGCTGAAGAAGGCGTACCCGCAGTTCCACCCTAGGAGCGCGTCGGAGCTCCTGGCGGTGGTCGTCGCGAACAGAAAAACGCCCGTGAGCCCTTTATTCAGCAGGGGGTCGTTGAATAATGCAACCTAGCGCGCAGAGCGAGAAAATACTCGCCCGCGCTGACCGCAAGGGTGCCCTTGCGCCCAACGTACGGCTGCTCAACCGCCCACCCGGCGAGGAAGGCCCCTGGGACGCCGATGACAGCCAGGATGACTTGCTGTTTATAGAGGGCACGAAGGCACGGGTAGGGTGAGCGAAATGAACAGATGGATGGATGACGGGGGGAGCACGACTGACGTTGCGGTAGGTGATGTAATATGAGCCGTCGCCGAACTGCGTGCCGCGGCTTGCCAGACTGCGAGGAGAACCGCGCTTAGAATGAATGAAACTGCTGCAGTAGCCTGTGGGGCAGCGGAGACTCACATGAACGGCAGGAAGCTGTTGTACAGCGTCGACGCGAGACCGATGATGCCTGGAGAGAGCTGGGTGTCAGTACCCGGCACGGAACGGGCCCACCATGCACGGAGCGGCATACTTACCCCACAGAGCGATCAGCAGACTCGTCGACCACGCCAGCTTGCGGGTCTCGAACAGGCTCTTGATATGCTCAGTAGTAAAGACCGAGCTCTTGCTCAAAACCTGGCGCTTGCTCTTGCTCCCCTTGCTCTTCGCCTGCGCAGAGGCGGCGGCGGCTTCACCAGCGCGCGTCAGCTCGTCGACGGTAATGTGGGACTGACGACCGTTGAATGCCGCGACCCGCTGCACGACCGCGACGGCCTCCGCGTCCCGCCCGAGTCCGACGAGGAAACGCGGAGACTCTTCGAGCGGGAAGACGAAGAAGCGGATCGCCCAGAGAAGGAGGGTCATCCCTCCGAGTGTGAAGAGCAGGTAGCGCCAACCCATGTTGCCGGCGCGCGTGCAAGTCGTGGAGCCTTGAGGGCAGGAGAAGTTGGCGATCAGTGGCCAGGCGATCTAGAATGGATGCCGATAAGCGGTAAGCGTCAGATAGCGGACGTGGTCAGGGAGACGTCGGCGCAGTGAGAGACGAAACGTTCGATCTGCGCAGGTGTGGGTGCAGACGGCCCTGCAGCGCAGGCCGTGAGCTCCTCTTGGCTAATTTTAATGTACCGCTGAGCCCTGCGTGGAAGGGCCGCGCAGCCCAGGAGGATGAGCCATGATAGCTTCGTCAAATGGGCACAGCTGATCGGCGTATGTGTCCTATAGTCTCAACTGGCGACTACAAGCCCAGCCTGTCGTTATGACTGCACAATGCCAAGCGCAAATGAAGGAGCACCGCCTGACCTCGACCGCGTTCCGTACATCTGTGAACATCGTACTCACCAATGCAGATACCAGCTGACCAATCGACCACCATATTGAGAGGACGGTGAGCAGGTACTGGTGTGTGCCGGGAACGAAGTCGAGAAACACTGCGGAATCTATGGGCATATTACCACCGACTCCCAGTCCCAAGACGGCCAGGAGAGAGGCCAGAGTGACGAAGTTAGGGGAGCCTCCGGCCGCCAGTCCGAAGACACCAGTGACAAAGAGTGTGATGTTGAAGGACAATCTACGCCACGCATTGTCAGTCGCTTCGTCTTCGATTACTACGAGACGCTCGGGCCATGAAGTGGCCCGACGCAGCTTCAACAGATCCGTGCGGGGAGACGAGATCGAACGAGCTGTCTGTCTGGGCATCTCCACCGCATCGAACCCGGCGGACGTCTCTCCTTCAGCGGATCAGGGAGCGCACCTTCTACCCCAGATGTCGCATCCGAAGCCCCAGAAGATAGCCCCCGCGAAAAGACCGATATTCTGCGCCAACGAGAGGAAAGGGCCATTGAAATGGAATTCGTTCACCACCGGGCTCAGGATCAGTCCTCCGAGTAGCGGCCAACAACTGTCGCTATTGATAGGATAGGCCAACTTGTCAGTACTACTCAGCGACGCAAGCCGTCATAGAAGGAAGTACGCACGCGAACCAGCCGAAGCCTGCGACGGCAAACAGCCACCACTAAGTGCAAAGCTTCCGGGTCGGGACGATCCTCCTTGTGCGATCGTGCTGAGAACCGCTCACCTGGTACTTCCCCATCCCGATCTCCTGCAGCGCCGCGTTCAATACGCGTGCCTTTGCCTGGTACACTGGATCTACTGATCCGTCTTCGAACATGTCGTCGTTCACGCCATTGCCTGCGACGGGAGAGTCCGGGTATGCTTCGCCTTTGCTCTCCAGGTCCGCGGATTTCTTCTCGAACAAAGACATTATGTGTAGATTCGACAGGATAGAGTTTGAGAATCAAACGAGGGCTGTGAGTGCTCTATTGATCAAGGTCAAGACCAGAGACGTAGGGCAATGTAGAGGGAGTCTGTCAAGGCGGACGTTGGACGAGCGCAGAGGCTTTGGCCGATCTTCTGACCGATGCCGGGGTTCGAGATGTACCGTCGCTCTTCCGCTCCAAGCCTCGCCGCCGCCTTTATACCGTCAAACCGCCAAACCGACACAGTATGGGAGCCTGGATGCGATTGGTCAGGCGGTAAGGCAGAAGGAGATAGCATGGGATCATTTGCCATATTCTGGGACATTCAATCACGCGGACCGGTAAGCACTGACAAAGTGCTGTCATTGGCCTGACGCGGCTGCCATTTCCTGTTCTTCCCATCCTCTCTTCAGTCCTCGAAGCACCGTCGAGCATTCTATATATCACTGGAGTCGCATGTACCCACCCTCAAGTGGGGTTATCTGTAGAGATGCCTCTGATGCAAAGCGCTTCTGGCAAAAAGAGTGCATACAGCAGGGTATCGAGAACCGATTATCGAATCCTAACCAAGGTGGGAACACGAACCGCTTGACATGAAGCCATTGCGATCAACTACTACACTGCCCCATTCCCGATGGGAAACATATGTCCATCATGGTCCAGTGGAGCAGCCCTGACATGGCAGTCGTAACGTATTCTATTCGTCCGATTGGTAAGAGAGTATATCAGACTTCTACTTATGATCGATCGTCCCTCTGCTCTTCGACCTGGTGCGGTTGTGCCCCACGTGAAAGGCTTTCATACATGGAATCATCAAGTAGGACGCAAACGGCAATTGCGCTGCTATGCTGACTTCAAAGGCCCCCGACCGACTATCGCCAACCAGTGATGTGCGGGTTGACGCAACCGTTGACCAGGTTGACAGGTATAGTAATCCCGTCGACATGTCGACAAGGCCAACGGTAAACTTTCGCACGCTCACATGCCTGTCGACGACCTTCGGCGACCCACGACGCTCTTCCCCTACGTCAGCGCCTAATCCCTCTGTCCGCTCGTCCTCCCCGTGGTCTGAATTGTCGAGCTCTCCCCGCTCGTCCGTTTGACTTGAAATTTGGTAGAAGGTTTCCTCCGCATCCATACTATCTTCTAATAATGCAAGATCAGCGCTCCAATCCCTCTGACCGCATTGCCAATCCGCCTTTGTCCTCCTACCCTCTCGCCTACTCTCACCACTCCCCTTTGTCAATATAGCAATATGCATCATATTCCGAGTACAGTACTAGTAAATGAATCTGGTTGGTCCCTCCCTGCGCCATCAATTGTCCCCAAAATGTCCATAGCAGGCTCTCCATCGGCATCCCTGTCCAAGATGTTTCATACCCCAAGTTCCTCATCCAGCATCGCTCTCATGTCAGACTCTCCTCTCTGTTTTTGGCATTTGCCAGTATGAGAGCAAAAAATTGAAGAGAGATCCGAGCTTGATTCTGATGATGAAGGGAAATTTGTGTCGTTGTTTGCATCAGTGTCCTCATACTGATGCTGCCTAACAGGGTCACAGAAGCCTCCTTGCAATGGAGTACCTCCCAGGGAGTCCATATGCGTTGTTGAGCCTGTAAATAATGTGAGACGCTCACCAGCTCTATATTCAATATCACTACTTACATTCGGTAGCTAGACGTCTAGACGCTGCCTCGCTTTCCGCAGATTTTTGAGCCTCAGTGTATGCCGCCGTTATGGTTGTATGCAGGACGTATTCATTAGCTACGAGGTATACAGAGCACTACATGAAGGGGGAATAAGCTAGAGCCCATCGATGGCGGGAGTCAAAGAGTTGCAGCAAAATCGACAGAGTAATCCCAATATGTCGATTGAACGCGTTCGCGATAGCGCGTCGCCCAATCATATACAGTGCCTGGGCGCCTGAACAGGTAGACCGCCCTGTGCGAAAGTTGACGTGCACTTTTGTGCACCTGTAGCCTTCGTCATCAGTTGACAAGTCGACAAAAGTCGACGACAACCCGGTGTCGACCGGCACATCACTGTCGCCAACAACGAAAACGTGTTGTGCATCGGGCGTTCGCACACAAAAATTGTCAATGCATAAATGGCGGTCGAATGTCGAATAATGGAAACACGTGGCACCAAACCTTGGTATTCGGGCCAAGAGTCGTTGTATCTCATGTCAAAATTCGTGATCATCTCGCTATCCGACTACCGCAACGACATCTTGCGAGAGCCAGCATTGTTCACATGGATGGGAAAACGGATATCCAGGCGAACAACCGGATTCCGTGCAGCAGCATACTTGGGCGCTACTAGTGGCAAAATGGTCTAGATATCCAGACAAATCGTAGGCATAAGTCATGGTTATATGTACCAGTATATGCCGTTGTCCATCCCAATGAGCAATGGGTTCTCCCTGGCAGCCATCTACTTGTGCCGGCATGCGTCCAGGCGTCGATTTCAGAGCTCAAGCCTACTTGAAACGGACTCTCCCGCGCGGCGAGCAAGCGCCGGCCAGGTGCGTCCGAACTGACGCCGTTCCAACCAACATCATGACCATTGAGTTCTTTTATGACGAACAGGCTTTACAGCTACGAGCATCATCCGCCGTCCCATGCAAGCTCGTTGATCAGCTCTCGTATTGCTACTGGCGATGATGCCATGGGGTTTGCCAATGAGAGCTATCAAACAATGCCGCATTGACCCACTAGTACAAACGCGACGTCGATAGAGAGTTCTCGTAAGAGCTAGACACGAGGTCTGAAAAGCTCTTAGGGAGCTACAATGGGAACCGCTACCAAAGCTCTGAACATCTGGGGTGTGTATATAAACCTAGCACATCGCGCTCCGCTTTCCCTGCCCCATCCTGGACATGGGTGCCTCCTATCGCACCTGCCTTGGGGGCTTGAGTGACCACCACTCAACATCCCTATATGCGTCTCCTTCCATTTCATAGACCTCACGTATCTTGGACGGAGCAAGACTCTGGTGACAGCACGGCTCGTTCTCGACCTCACCGGACTCGCATGGGGACCCCACGATGCCGCTTGTCAAATCGCACAACACAACCACATTCTTCCTTCTATCAACGATTTTGTACGTCTGAGCCTGTTTCTTCCCATCATTTTCAGGCCTCTTGAGACTCGATAGGTCTCTAGCAGTCCTCGCGAGCCTTTCACGAAGCGTTCGCTTCAAAGGTACACACGCGCAGGTCACTGTGCTCCTGCACAAAAATACCACTACCGTCCGCACACCTAGTTCGTCTAACCGTCTGTAACATCAGCATTGCCATGGCTAAGCGCACGGACTGGACCGTGCGGACAACTCGATCATCGTCGCCACCGCTGACTGACCTGAGTGAAGGTGGGTAGCCTCCTTCTGTTTGCTTGGAGATAGCACGCACCACAACCTCGGATCGACCGCGACTCGGACCTGAACGTGCCCAGCAAAGTCTGCTGGAGGTGCGCAGGGCGGACCTCGTCGCCAAGGTGAACTTGTCCCATCTGGTGTCGCTCATGTCCTGGATGCTGTGCCACAATATGGCGCACGACGTCTAGAGGGTAATTGTTCTACGATGAACGTGCTACCTTGTCTTTCGCTGGCTGTAGATGTATGTAGTCTAGACGTAGTTCAGAGCATGTAACAGATTAGTGATAATGAGCACTCATGTCACCGCGCACAACACTGTGCCAAATGAAGAATATTTGGGTCAAATATCTATCAAATATGTGGTTGTGGACTCCAAATATTTGGAGGAATCACAAGAGGACCCACAGCGCATGCAAGCAGCACATGATCCTCCCTGCACAGCGCTCGCACTAAATATTTGGCAAATATTTGAGGGAGGGGGAATACCCTCCTCCCTCACTCCCTACACACATCCCAAATATTTGGGGTTCACCTCCAATATCTGGGAGGGGCATCCCTCCCGCCCTCTCAAATATTTGAAGGGGCCACTATAACATCTGGGCGAAATAATTCGTATTTTACTATAACTATAAGGTTCGAAAAATTTATTCAGTGTGTACTGGTGAGGATCGTGAATCGGTGGATTGTTGCTTTCCTCGAGCATGTGCGTAGTGAATTCTTCTTCGCATCTGTGTGTGTCCCTGCATGTTTGGCGGAGGCATAGAATAGGGTTGTGCCGGACGACGGAAAGCACGCACCCGGTGTGCGTTCATGCGGAAGCGGGGACGGCGGGCATCGCATAGACAGGCCAAGATGAAATGAATCGAGATGGGACAGGTTGCAAGGGAGGACGTACATTCCCGTCTGTAACAGATGAGCTGGGTGAGCAGGTGTATAATAGTTGGGCAGGGTGTACGGCCGGACTGCAGGCTCACTGACCTGTTCCTCCCCGCTCCTCCTCCGCTGTGTGCCATGGTTCGCTTGATGGCCTTGGTGCCGTCCTGCTCCTCCTTCATGTTTGTGTTCTGGTAGGTTGACGGCCGTTGAGGGTGTGGCAATGCGCGTGAGTGATGCTGTAGTGGCGTTCAGAATCAGCACTGACCATCGTGTACATTCTAGCTTCGGCCGACAAGTCAGCCGCGATTAGTCTTGACCGCGCAGACAACTTGATCATTGTGTCACTCCGGCCTTGTACGCTCTACAAGAACGGCCGGCAAAGCGCGGGCATGTGGAAGCTCGGGGGACACAACCGCTGGGTTGGGTCGTGGCGCGGTCCCCGTATGCGTGGTTCATGTTCCTTCTAGCCGACTTGTGTATGTTTGGAGGACAAGGTTGAACGGCGGTGATGGTGAGCGAGTGCTGCTGCTGGCGAGAATGCATGATTAATACTGACCCTCGAGAAGCTCTCGCCCTTCATGCACGTCAGGCACGACAGTCGAAGCGGGGAGGTCGCGCTTCAGCCCAGGACATGGAGGTCGCGGTCGAGGCGCCCCCAGAGACGTCCATCGGGACGGCGGAGAGGTGGCTGTGGCGGTGGTCGCAGTGGGGCATCGTTGATGGGGTCGTGCTCTGACGCACAGCAGATGCACCGAGCTGCGGGGCTCTCGGATTTTCGAGTGCCTTCTACAAGGTTTGCAATGATGTAGTCAGCCTGTCCTTCCAGTTTTCGATGACTTATGGCTTGCCTTGGAGCTGCGAGAGGGCCTTGAGGCAGGTTTCGCTGATGTAGTACAGCGAGAGCACCTTCAATGTATCGAGCTTCGTGACGGCCTTGTAGACGGCTAGATGAGACTGGAAGGGAGGCTCCATGCCGCGCATTTGGAGGACATGCAGGTTCACCGTGGCGGACAGGACCTTGGTGAGAAGGCTGCACCCCATCCAGACCGTCCACCAGGGCTAGCCAGGCGTCGAGCAGATGCAGTGCGCGAAGGACCTTGGCGAGCTATGGCTTGTTGAGCGTGAACTGGCAGGATTGTTTGAGACGGTCAGGGCCGTTGTCAAAGCCGGAGTTACCGATGGAAACGTCGGAGACAACGTGGGGCGTAGCAAAGCCATAAGCAGCTTGCATGTCAAGGCAAGTTGGAGCGCATCATCGACAAGGCAGAAGTCAATAATTGCACGGTGAACATCGTGATTTCGAGTGAGGAGGTGGAGGTTAGAGGGGAACGGGGTGGGTGGATGTGGATGAGATACTCACCTGTCACGCTTGCCCCGCCGATATCTCGTCCATGCCTCTCCTCCCAACGCCTCCTCACTTCTGCGTTATCCAGGAGGCCAGGGGGTTCGATGGCGGTGGTAGGTAGAGCGAGAGATGGAGACTGATGGAGGCCTGCGTAGAGGGAGACGTGGCAGATTGCGGAGGTTAGACGCTTGACCCGGTTGCCTCCCCAGCCCAGCGCTTATGAGTCGTGGATTAGTAGAGGGTACTTAGGCCAGTACGATGTCCTGCACAGCCGCAAACGAATGCCGTTGCTAGCCAGTAGTATCTACAACATTCCAAAGCCTGGTAGAGCTTGGGTACCTGAGAGGTGCAAGGGAGATCAAACAGAGACAGACATGGGGCGACGTGCTAGGCTCGGTTTCAGACCCGCCGTCTGTGGCTTCCCATCCCCCCGTGCAGACCGCAGTTCACAATGAGCCTCTGTTGGCAATATAACCATCCTGAGTATACAGCCACAGATAGCACACATCAGATCCTCTCAGTCGTGGTAGAAACAACGTCCCATTCGTCCACAACCCTGACTTGGCTGACCAAGCTCTGCGATGGAATCCAACATGTGGACCTGTTTAAGTGATCATCCAAAACATATGATTTTGTGCAATACCTATTAGACGAGACACTACCTACAGCTACAAACTACGAGGACTTGCAAACGTTGCAACGGTCTGCAACAAGAGAAGGTGTGCGTGGCTTAGACATGAACACAATCGGACTGGTTCGAGAGGGGGGACAATGGTGTGAGCGGACAGGTAGCGACGTGATGAGTAGATGTTGGTAGAAAGATGTGGACCGTATACACAGATCATGATCAAGGACTCCGACAGTGGACATACAGATGCAAACGTGACCGGAAACGAGATGTGCAGAAGAGGCGCAGGGGCATAGAAACATGTGTACGGCCGTAAGTATGCACACGAGACATAACCAATCGTCTTATGTACCAACCTAACGCAAGATGGGGCGAAGGGCAGAAGTGAGGCAGTAACGAGACGAGGAGGCGGGAGCAGACACGGGACGAGTCTGAGGCGCTGACGGGGCAACCGCGTGCAGCCGCGAAGGGCTGACCGTCGCCACCAACACGCCAACCGATCCGAATGACGGCACGGGTGAGGCGGCGAGCGCGAACCCGAGCTACTCCGCCCATTCGCAGAAGTAGTTTGGGTACGAGATGAAGCGGTACAGCAGCCCGTGCAGGATCGCGTAGTGCTCCTCCTTCGGCTTGTCCTTCCCATTGTTCGTGTCGTCGGAGGCCTTCTTGGCGTTGCGGCGGATGTTGAGGATCTCATGCGTGACGTTGCCCGTGATGCCCGCCACCCACAGGGTAAGCCCGAGCCAGAACATCAGGCGCGCGAAGGCGTCGGCCAGGAAGGACTGCGCAGGCGGCGAGGAGAGGTACGTGCCCAAGAGCGAGCCGTTGACCGTGTTGAAGAAGACGGCGGAGATGGCAATCATGAGGTACGGCCTGGAGAGCGAGGACGTTCGGAGGGGCGAGATGAGCGTGCGGTTGAGGTAGTGTGTCATGAAGAGGAAGGGATGTCAAAGACGTAACGTTTTAGAGTGAAGGTACAGCTTGCTTGGATGTCGCGCATACAGTAATCACTCACCATCGACTGTGAAGATACTCTTTGTTGACAGCCTAAACCGTCCAAGCGGCGCGTTGTAGAGGAGCATCTGGGGAAAGAAGAAGGGCTGAACTATGGCAAATCGTTTTCGCGCACCTACACAAAGAGTATCATGTCAGCTGTAGCTTGTGCCTTCCCGTTTACAGCTTACAGCCTCGATGCAGACATCGTGGATTCCGCTGGGGGTTGGGAAGTGTAAAGGAGACTCCCCTCTCAGCATTTCCAGGGACGATCGCGACTGCGACCATGACCATTGATGGTGTCAAAGACGTTCCCGATCTGGTGGAATGACATCCGGACCTCCTAGGACTTTACGACGCACAACCTCTCACTGGCTCTCACAAATCTAGCCCGCTGTGTAGGATATCGTAGAAAATAGAGTAGTAGCGCTGTGGCGTCAGCTCCAGAAGATTGGTTCGTTCACGTAACTTGTATTTGCCTTGAGAAAGTTCGGGTGGCACGGGTGCCTATACTGCCTAATCGGGCCATAGTACCTTAGCTCCCCGTTTTGACGTTGGACCGTCATCTATTCCTTCCTGGTTTTGCTGCAACGGTATGCCTCTCATTGAAGTGAGTGATACTGCACACCATACAAATGATACGCCAATGAGGTTGTCGATCTGCCGTCAAAACTCAACAATGCACTCCCCCGGACGCTCCTCCCGGATATTTGGATGCACGATAGTGCACGCTGTAGGTCATCGCGAACGACCGGCTTGGGCGCAAGGGTGCGTGCGCTCTATTTTCGTCGCATCACAGGACATTTGCACTGATGCGCAAGGATGTGTGTAGTGCGCGTGAAGTGCAGTCCAGAGAATACTGTCGGAGACCTCAAGAAGCTCATCACGGCCCAGCAATCCAAGATCCAGTTCAAGAAATTGTGCGCACCTCCTTCTCCATAACCAACACTTTTTCTCCCTATGTCCCCACGTCCTTTACTTTTTCTCCCTGAGTCCCTGCCATCATCACCACATTCCTCGGCGACACAGAACTGACGTCCCAACCAACCCAGGTACACGATCTAAAAGGATCATATCACACTTACGGAGAATGAGATACACGATTGCACGAGTCTTAAGATGTAGTAGTCGACGATCCGCCGCGGTGTGGTGTGGCGTAATCTATTCCCTCGGAGTCTCGTTCCTCATGCCCGCGAGGCTGATTAATTGTTTCACACGAGCTGCGATTGTTGTACTTGCGATGTATCAATACACGGTGTATGTCCTCCTTCCCATTGGCCTTCAACCTTTCCACAGTCGCCCCCCGGACTTGTCGAGGGCCTCCACGATCTTGGACTCGCGTTGGTTGGGTGCGA